ACCGGTACCGGGACGGGCCCCGGCGGGACCTGGATCGGGGCTTCGGGACCCGCGACCGCTACGACGACCGGGGCCGGGACTACGACCGAGGTGGGGCATTCCTGGGAATTCTGGGGGGAGGGAGCGGGAATGGGGCATCCCTGAGGGAATTCTGGTGTCCCACGGGGTGGGAATGGGGCATTCTCGGGAATTCTGGTGTCCCACGGGGTGGGAATGGGGCATTCCCGGGAATTCTGGTGTCCCATGGGGTGGGAATGGGGCATCCCTGGGAATTCTGGTGTTCCATGGGGTGGGAATGGGGCATCCCCGAGGGAATTCTGGTGTTCCATGGGGTGGGAATGTGGGTGTTCCCGGCTGGATCCATCCCGGTGTTCCGCAGGGTGGGAATGTGGGTGTTCCCAGTTTTCCTCAGGGTGGTTCTGTGCTCATTCCTGGTTTTCCTTAGGATGGGACCATGGTCATTCCCAGTTTTCCTTTGGCTGGGACTGTGCTCATTCCCAGTGTTCCCCAGGGTGTACCCGTGCTCATTCCCGTTTTTCCGTAGGGTGGTTCTGTGCTCATTCCCAGCTGATTCCCAGTGTTCCTCAGGATGTACCCGTGCTCATTCCCAGTTTTCCATAGGGTGGTTCTGTGCTCATTCCCAGCTCATTCCCAGTGTTCCTCAGGATGTACCCGTGCTCATTCCCATGTTCATTCCCGTTTTTCCCTAGGGTGGTTCTGTGCTGATTCCTGAGCTGATTCCCAGTTTTCCCCAGGGTGTGCCCGTGCTCATTCCTGGCTGTATCCCAGTTTTCCTTAGGATGGGACTGTGCTCATTCCCAGTTTTCCTTAGGATGGGACCATGGTCATTCCCGGTTTTCCTCAGGGTGTGACTATGCTCATTCCTTGCTGCATTCCCGGTTTTCCTTAGGCTGGGACTGTGCTCATTCCTGGTGTTCCTCAGGGTGTGCCCGTGCTCATTCCCATGCTCATTCCTGTTTTTCCGTAGGGTGGTTCCGTGCTGATTCTCAGCTGTATCCTGGTGTTCCTCAGGGTGTGCCCGTGCTCATTCCCGGCTGTATCCCGGTTTTCCATAGGGTGTGGCCGTGCTGATTCCCGGTTTTCCGTAGGGTACGACTCCCGGCTGGGCGGGGGCCGCCGGGCCTTCGGCAGCGGGTTCCGCCGGGACGACGATTTCCGCGGGTTCGAGGATCGCTACGAGCGCCGGGACGAGCGGGGGGAGCGCTGGAATTCCCGGGAGGAATACGGCAGGGACGACTTCCGCAGGGACGACAGAGGTGCGGCGGGATCCCCGGGAAGGCTGGGAATGGGCCCTTGGGAAAGGTGGGATGGGATGGAATGGGAGGTGATGGGAGGGGAGAGGATGGGATGGGATGGGATGGGATGGGATTGATGGGATGGGAAAGGTGGGATGGGATGGGAATGATCCCTCAGGAAAGGTGGGGTGGGATGGGATGGGATGGGAAAGGTGGCATGGGATGGAAATGGTTCCCTAGGAAAGGTGGGATGGGTGGGAATTGATCCCTGGGAAAGGTGGGATGGGATGGGATGGAAATGGTTCCTTGGGAAAGGTGGGATGGGATGGGAATGGTTCCCTGGGAAAGGTGGGATGGGATGGGAATGGTTCCCTGGGAAAGGTGGGATGGGAATTGATCCCTGGGAAAGGTGGGATGGGATGGGAAATGGTCCATTGGGAAAGGTGGGATGGGGTGGGAATGATCCCTCAGGAAAGGGGTGGGGTGGGAATGATCCCTCAGGGAAAGTGGGATAGGGTGGGGTCTCTTCCCTCAGGAAAAGTGGAATGGGATGGGAATGATCCCTTGGGAAAGGTGGGATGGGGTGGGAACGATCCCTTGGGAGAAGTGGGGTGAGGTGGGAACGATCTCTCAGGAAAGGTGGGATAGGGAGGGGTCTCTTCCTTCAGGAAAAGTGGAATGGGATGGGAATGATTCCTCAGGAAAAGTGGGATGGTGTGGAGTCTCCTCCCTCCCAAAAAGCAGGATAAGGAGCAGCCAATCCCTCTGGGACATTCCCACGGGATCACCCCTTGGGATCACCCCTTGGGATCACCCCCCTCCCTCCCCTCGCCAGGTCCCACCCAGAGGCCGAAGCTGAACCTGAAGCCCCGGAGCGCTCCCAAGGAAGAGGAAAACTCGGGAGTCGCCGCCCAGTCCTCCCGCGCAGCCTCCATCTTCGGGGGGGCCAAACCCGTGGACACGGCGGCCAGGGAGAGGGAGGTGGAGGAGAGGCTCCAGAAGGAGCAGGAGAAGCTCCAGAGGCAGCTGGAGGACGACAAGAGGATGGACAGGAGACCCCGGGAAAGGTGGGAATGATCCCGAGGGAAAGGTGGGAATGATCCCAGGATGGGATGGGGTGGAAAAAGTGGGATAAGGTGCGATGGGATGGGATGGGAATGGTCCCCAGGGAGAGGGAGGTGGAGGAGCAGCTCCAGGAGGAGCAGGAGAAGCTCCAGAAGGAGCAGGAGGACAAGAGGATGGACAGGAGACCCCGGGAAAGGTGGGAATGATCCCGAGGGAAAGGTGGGAATGATCCCAAGAAAAAAGGAGAGTGGGATGGGAACGGTCCCCAGGGAGAGGGAGGTGGAGGAGAGGCTCCAGAAGGAGCAGGAGAAGCTCCAGGAGGAGCTGGAGAAGCTCCAGAGGCAACTGGAGGACAAGAGGATGGGCAGGAGACCTTGGGAAAGGTGGGAATGATCCCAAGGGAAAGGTGGGAATGATCCCAAGAAAAAGGGGGAGCGGGATGGAGGTGGTGCCCAGGGAGAGGGAGGTGGAGGAGAAGCTCCAGAAGGAGCAGGAGAAGCTCCAGAGGCAGCTGGAGGACGACAAGAGGATGGACAGGAGACCCCGGGAAAGGTGGGAATGATCCCGAGGGAAAGGTGGGATTGATCCCAGGATGGGATGGGATGGAAAAGGTGGGATAGGATGGGATGGGATGGGATGGGATGGACAGGCAGGGAACAGAGATTAGACTCTTGGTGGGATGGATAGGCAGGGAATTCCTTGGGAATGGTGGGATGGATAGGTATGGAATTCCTTGGGAATGGTGGGATGGATAGGTATGGAATTCCTTGGAAAGGTGGGATGGATAGGTATGGAATTCCTTGGGAATGGTGGGATGGATAGGTATGGAATTCCTTGGAAAGGTGGGATGGATAGGCAGGGAATTCCTTGGGAATGGTGGGATGGGCAGGGAAGGATCCCATGGGAAAGGTACCACCAATCCCATGGGAATCCCTGCCCCTTTCCCATCATCCCATCATCCCAAAATCCCATTATCCCATTATCCCATTATCCCAATATCCCATAATCCCTCCCTTCCCAGACACCCCAGCTGGAGGAGCGAAGAGAACCAGGAGCGATCCCGGACCGGGAGCGAATCCTCTTCCCAGGGGGGGCCCCCGGGACCCCCCC